TTGAACAAGAGATGGAGAGAGTCAAGTGGAGATTGTAGTGTTTTGGAGAGTTAGTGTTTGGGACTTTCTTGTTGATTTGGAAGAGTTGGTATGCGACTGATTATTTTCGGACGTATTGTTTTGGTGTTGGGANAGAGTCAAGTGGAGATTGTAGTGTTTTGGAGAGTTAGTGTTTGGGACTTTCTTGTTGATTTGGAAGAGTTGGTATGCGACTGATTATTTTCGGACGTATTGTTTTGGTGTTGGGATTTGAATTTTGTCTTGGTTTTGATTGTGTTTTGGGATGAACTGGTATGAGAATGATGGCTTTGATATTTTGCCGGAGCATGACGATGCATACGAGCAGGGGGGCTATTCGATATACTCGTAGCATAGCATGGGGGTGGTATATTGCGTATACATTTGCGGGATTTGCAGTGACGAACTACGGAGGAACAAGAAGTTTCTTTGTGTTTTCCTTGGGAGTGTGGTAGATTGGTGGACATTCATGGAGATTCGTTTTGGGTGTTTAAGCGTTATGCGTGACTTGATGCCGTGATGGAATGACGAGCTCAAGCACGCCCCCGATGAAAACAACGCGTTTTTCAACACGTCTGCACGACTTTACCTACCCCTACGGCCCGTCATGGCCGAGCTCTCTACACTCCCATCACACACAACTGAGCCACCCGAATTATCGATCAAAATCAGTCGTTCTTGTACACAAACACTCCAACATGTCCTCTCGAGAACTACTACGTTCTACAGCCCTGAAACAGAAGACGAAACTCTCTGCAGTGTCCTCTCAATACTATATCAATGTCCTCTCAAAACAATGTCATCAACAAGTACCTGTTCCCAAATCAGCAATCACCAATAGCCATTTTTTTTTAGCAGCGAAAACATATCAAGCAACAACAACACAGATTTTACTCTCTACTAGACAATGTCTTCCTTTGGCAGGGTCTTGACATATCCAAGCATTCTCGTTTTTGTGCTGCGATTGCCACCACAGATCTACCATCATCCAACTTCTACTTCGTCGTGATTCTGTCGTCTCCGTCTTGGTCACTTGTTTGATGTGGTTCAATTTCCGCTCAAAGGGAATGTTCTGGCAAGTTGATTGCTGTTAAGCTGTTTCATTTTACGCTCGCTCCTTCCGGCGGCAGTCGGCGCTTCTCTCGGTGAAGTAGCCCTCCAGTTGCGTTCTTCTTCACCCGGCAGCATGTGACAACCCGCTCCTCAAGTGGCGTGGCTGCGGCAGTTAATTAACCCTATTTTCGACCTTTTCCTTCGTTTCAAGCATCCCCCTCTCTGGTGGCATAGTCTAGCCTGTAGTAATTTTCTCCCACCAATCTAAGATCTAAGCAACCCGCTCCTCTGGCGGCGGGACTGCTTGAGGTATCCCATCGGCACGTGTGTAGCAGCCCGCTCCCCTGGTGGTGGGACCGCTTCAGGTATTCCATCGGCACGTTGTAGCAGCCCGCTCCTCTGGTGGCGGGATTGCATAGGTATTCCATCTATTGGTAAACTCGTGGCTTCTGGGGAAAAGATGTTGTATTGATGAGACCTTGGACCAGGAGAACCGGTCAAAAGGTGGAGTGAGCTGGGTGGGTGCACAGCATCCCAGCAGCATCACGCTTGGGCATCCGCTCGATCACGCATATACACCGAACACGGACCGATGCATGGAACGGACCAATGCACTTTCACTCGGATCAATGCACCTTCCTACGTATCACACATCCTCTGGCAAATGTACTACTTCCTCTGTCACATCAGTAAAGTCCGTTATGTTTACACGGCCATTTCGCCGTGTCCGATGTCTTAGGCGATACTTTTTTTGAAATCTTGAGCGTTTTTCGGGTTGAAACCCATATTTCTTTTTTTTTCTTGCGCACTACCCTGCATGCACTAGCGGCTTACATAAAAGTGGTCAGGCCAAAAAAGGCCGTATTTTGCCCCTTTCCATGAGGGTGGGGGTGGGGGCACGAAACGAAACATACCAAAAAAGACAAGAATTATCCCGAACCCTAAACCCAAGGTTACCTCTACTGAACGATCCATTTCGCGTCCTCCCATACAAAAACCAACATAGTAGTGAACCCACACTAAAATCAAGACATTTTCGAGGCCCACACTAAAACCAAGACACTTGGGGGCGCCACACTAATATGAAGTTACTTGCGGGGCAAAGCCGACAGGCGTAGGGTCCTAACCCTACCCCCCCCTTGTACTCAACGACCCATGTCGCGTCCGCCCAATATTTTCTGGGGTAATCACTACCAACGCCGTACCGCTCGGCGAGGGGGCCTAGAAAGCCCTTGGGTACTTGTCTTACTTGTTAGATCTCGAGCCCAGAACAAAATCACGATGAACCTCAAAAAGGTTTCTCGGCAAAGCCTTCGTCAGGATGTCTGCGTGCTGTTCTTCGCTAGAAACGTGACTGACTGCCAACACTCCCTCCTCTGTCAAATTCCTAAGAAAATGGTGCCTCACGTCTATGTGCTTACTGTTACACGAGCTAAGGGGATTCTTAGCAAGCGCAATCGCACCCTCGTTGTCCTGAAGTGCCACAATCTTACCAAGTTTTTCACTAGGCCTTTAGAACTCTAGCATTCCGTTCACAAACAGAGCTTTCTTCACACCATCGCCCATCGCAATACTTCTATACTCTGTTTCAGACGTGGACAATGAAACACATTTCTGCGTCCTAGAAATCCAAGCAACAAGATAGTCAGCTACAGGGACTAATGCTCCCGAAACTGAGCTGCGGTCAGTGGCCTCGCTAGCGAAGTCAGCATCTACGTACACCAACGTGCCTACTTCTACCGTATCATCCTGCTTGTACTTCAAAGTTTGATGTACCGTCTCCAGAAGACAATCCAGAATCTTCTGGGCCGCCTTCCAGTGGCTTGTCTTTGGCTCATGAGAGTGCCTCGCCACTGCCCGCACAGCATTTGAGATGTCGGGCCTCGTCTGGTTGGCGATCCACATCAGGCTCCCCACCACCTCTCTGAACGGCACATCCCCTGCTTCCTCATCCTCCATCACGGACCTGTAAGCTTTAGCAGGGGAAGCGGAGATCGAGCTGGTGCGATAAATATTGAATCTCTCGAGAACACTCCTTACGTAACTCTCTTGAGAAATCTCAATCGTGCCAGCCTCGCGGTCGCGACTAAATGCGCAACCGAGAAAGAACTTGACCTCGCCCAAATTCTTCGTGGAAAGAGAGTCACCTAGCGCTTCCACAACCATCTTGGCAAGCCTCTCAGTTCCTGCATGCAGAATGTCATCCGCATGAATCGCGACCATACCCATCACCTCGTCCCCCATTATGAAACGGAGAACACAGGGGTCAAACAGAGGCTGCTCAAAACCAATTGCCTTCAGGTCCCACACTTGTCTCCTGTGAAATGTTCTAGATGCCTGCCTCAGTCCATACAAACTCTTGTCTAAACGAACAACCTTTCCTGACATCGACTCGCAGTCAGGAGGCAACTTCATGAACACCTCATGATCCAATTCCGACTGAAAGAACGCTTGCTCAATGTCAAAGTGGAGTAATTCCAAGTTGTACTTGCATGTCAATGCTACCAGCAAACGAATCGATGCAGCATTTGCAGTAGGCGAGAAAGTCTCAAGATAATCCACACCATGCTTCTGCTCGAAGCCCTTCGCCACAAGCCTAGCCTTGGCCTTTTCTGTCTTGCCTGTTTCGTCTGATATCCATTTGTAGACCCATCTAGCATCTATCACGTTACAGCTTATCGGGGCCTTTACTGCTAACGCGAACGTTCCTGCCCTTAACAAGCCTTCAAACGCCTCAGACATGGCTTTGTCCCAAATCACGGCATGCATTGACTGGCGGGCTTCTCGGTAGCGACCAGGCTCTGTCTCTACATCCTGAATGAGCTCTCTCGGCAATTCCATAGTATCAGACGCTCTCTGCTCCACTAAGAGTGCTTCTACAATTTCAGATGCGGAGATAGGCCCTAGAGTGGCCATGAGACCGGATACGCTCTGCTGATTTACGGCCCGAGTTTGCGCACGGGTTCTGCCACTTCTAACTTCATCATTCTGATTCGCAGCAGTGTTGTAACTAGCAAGCTCATGCTGCGCACGACGATTAGATGGTACGTGCGTAGCAGGGGGAAGTGTCTCCGATTCTACCTCCTGCCCTCCCGGCTCCACAAACTCTTCACCCAACCCTTCCTGACTCTCCGACTCTACCTCCTGCCCTCCCGGACCCGCCGATTCTTCCTCCCCTGTCTCCGGCCCATCCTGCTCTCCCTCATCGGTGAACTCATCTACTGGAGAAGACACAGGGANGTAGCAGGGGGAAGTGTCTCCGATTCTACCTCCTGCCCTCCCGGCTCCACAAACTCTTCACCCAACCCTTCCTGACTCTCCGACTCTACCTCCTGCCCTCCCGGACCCGCCGATTCTTCCTCCCCTGTCTCCGGCCCATCCTGCTCTCCCTCATCGGTGAACTCATCTACTGGAGAAGACACAGGGAGAGCTGCGCTACTAGGGGAATTAATCGCGGGCGAAGATGGCACAGAGGGGGATTGGCCTGCACTGCCTGCATCAACATTGCCAACCTCACCGATTTCTCCGTCAGAGACCGCTTCATCACGTCGCAGAAGAATGTGGGGTACACCTCTTCCTACAAGCGGCCATACCTCGGCTTCTACATCATCGTCACTTTCTTCCCCTCCCTTCCCTGCTACCTCTATCGGCAAGAGGGATGGTTGCGGTGGAGGGAGTTGTGACGGCAATGCCTCCCATGTCACATCCCTCGTTTCTTGAATAGTCCCTGCCCTCGTAAGTACTCTATGACAGTCACGCGGGTGGACTCTCGAAGGACCGACAACAAGCAAGCCTCACCCTTCGGCAGCAGCTTGGACGGTCGCTGCCACCTACAGTAAGCCGGTTTCAAAAACGGGTTCGGTCTAGCAGGACTAGCTTCGCCATACCACATCTCATACGGGGACTTGCTGTCTGGGACAGCGGAACAAGCTGTGCGGTTAAGTGCTTCGCAAGCCCAGTGTATGGCCTCAGCCCAGAGTCTGCCAATCTTAGGTAACTGCACATGCCCAAACAAATCCTTGGCCTATATACGAGCCGTCACTGCAGTTGCCTCAATCAATCCCAAACCACGCTCTGCAACACTGTTGTATTGTGGACTGTAAGCCGGGGTGAACTCTTGCTTAATCAAGAGCTCATTGCACGCTGACGCAAACTCCCCTCCGAAAAACTCCCCCCCATTGTCAGATCCATAATGGTGGTCGAGTAGATCATGTTGTGCGGGGTGGAGAACCCTCACTCCGCGCAAGGGGGATGATCGCACCACGTTGTGTTAAAATGGTCAAGCACCCTCGAGGCAGTTACACAGTGCTAATAACTGTCTCTGGAAGTGAAGGACCCGAAAATAAATAAAGTCATACGCAGCTGTCATCCGTACGCAAGGAAGTAAGCACAAGATGCCGAACACCCTTTGCACCCTTCATGCGACTCGCCGAATGCCTCACGGCGCTTCGCGCTTGGTGATGTGAGAGCCTGGTCCGGTGAGAACCCGGCGTGCTCCGTCCCGGCTTTGTAGGGATGCGAGGTCAATGGTCTAACGACTACGGCATGCACGACTATGAGTACACCCCCCACCATTGTCAGATCTAACAATCTCAACCAATGATGATAGATGTTCATCAGCACGCACACTATTATAGCAAGGCTTCTGAAAGCACCCCAGCGTCTGTTTATTTCTCAGGAAATACAGCCGTGTGCGTCTAGGGAAATCATCCTTCACTATCATGGGGTAATGTTTACCCCCTACGGACGCAACGGTCCGGTGAGAACCCGGCGTGCTCCGTCCCGGCTTTGTAGGGATGCGAGGTCAATGGTCTAACGACTACGGCATGCACGACTATGAGTACCCCCCCCCCCCCCTACGGACGCAACGTCCTTCCGTCCTCCCAGGTCCACAAAAACTCTGCCCAACTTTTTGTCTGATCTGCGTTTAGTTTCACGAGCAATTCCTTTCCTGAATGCCTTCGACATCGAACATCCCGTGCAAGCATTCTATTCACCAGTCAACTCAGTACCCAGTCGCATTGCAGTTGTACGAAGCTATCCCTTATGGGCATGAGCATAAATGTTATGGAACTCGTTCACATCCATCTTAGTTTCATTCTTGGGGCTCGAAGGAGTGAGGGCAGCCAACACCGAACCAATTGAATTATCTTCGAGACGATACGCAGTCGCAATCAGCATGCCATCTATCTAATTCATGAAAAGTGACTTGTTCGTCGAAAGCAGTCATCACTCTTTCAGGACCACCAAGGCAATTCCATGATTCACCGTCGAACTCTGCACTGGGAGAAAAGAGGTTGTATCCCAAGTTGGGAGAGTACAATACGTTCTCCAACTCTACAGAAAACTCGCTGTCAGGACTCACAGACACGAACTCCAGGGTTCCAGAGAATGTTACCTCACAAGTCACGCTAAGAAGCCCTTCTACATTCTAATCGCAAGGCATCAGATTCTTCATGCAAGAGAGACGGTCTGTCATGTGGAAAGCTGTACCCGTATCTGCATACCAATCATCGATGCGACTGTCCTTCCTAGCAGTAGAAGAATATTTGCGAAAAGCACCATCTCTACGCGAGTTCTCTCTCATCACTTCGTGTAAAATGCCTTCATGCGCGCACCATACGATTTGGGCAGATTGTCATGAGATAGGATCGCGAAGCTAGACTTCGATTGTCGAAACCTTTTATGATTTCGCAGCATGCGAAACCTTTCATGACTTCGCAACATAAAGTTAGAGTTCTCACCGANTTCTTCATGCAAGAGAGACGGTCTGTCATGTGGAAAGCTGTACCCGTATCTGCATACCAATCATCGATGCGACTGTCCTTCCTAGCAGTAGAAGAATATTTGCGAAAAGCACCATCTCTACGCGAGTTCTCTCTCATCACTTCGTGTAAAATGCCTTCATGCGCGCACCATACGATTTGGGCAGATTGTCATGAGATAGGATCGCGAAGCTAGACTTCGATTGTCGAAACCTTTTATGATTTCGCAGCATGCGAAACCTTTCATGACTTCGCAACATAAAGTTAGAGTTCTCACCGATCTCATCCTCATCGTCCTTGGATTTCCCAGTCTGGGAGGGATGAGGGATCACACGAGCCAGGCCGTCCGATCTCATACGACCCTTCTCCCCACAGTTGAAACACGTCCCCTGGAACTTCTTCTTGGACGAATCTGATCCAGAGTTAGTTTTCGACTTGGAGTAGTTTGATTCCCTGTTGCTCTTCTTTTCTCCCCTAGACACAAGCGCAACACTGTGCTTCTTCACATTCACTTGTATCTGCAAGTCAAGGTATCTCTTGCGTACTTTCGTCTCGATGAACACAGGGTCGTTTGAGCAAAAAACTACAAGAGTCTCACGCAAAGTCTTATCCTCTTGGGATAGTCCCTCGAGCATCAGGGTGCACACCTCCCTGTCATCCTTCCCAACTTCTAGCATCTGCAGAACACCAAGAGTCTCTCTTATAGACGCGAAGGAGGTTGAGGGGTTCTCATTCGGACGCATACGAAGCGACTTGAGTTTCTCTGCTTGTACACGGATCTGACTCTGACTCAAAGGAAGAAAGTGATCATTCAACACTCGAAATACCTTGCTGGGGGATCCGGCATGCCTAGCCATGGTTTTTGAAGGAGTCTTTCTTCAGGCAGTCAAACAGAAACTACCAAGGGGGTCAAATCGAATCCAATGCCTGCAATCGGAATGTTATGCATTGACACAACCGCTTCATACAGATTATTGTGACGGGCACTCAGCAAAACGTTCTGCGACCACGAAGGATACGAGACATCATACCCGTCGAAAACAGGAGCTTCGGGAGCTATAAAAGGGCTCCTGCCCAACTTATCTCCTGTGTCTGAAATGCGGGCCCCAGGGATCAGTGTGTTTCCACTGGCGGCATGTTCCCACCACTCACTCGATAGAGTAGACGGGGGCGGCATGAAAGACTGGCTACCTGGTCCCCCACTCCCAATTCCGATCGAACCAAAATTTTGCATCACCAACAGAGGAATGATTTACTGTAGATGCATCAGGGTTCAAGCCTGAGTCTAAGAGACCACTACTCCCAACCCGATCAACATCAGTTGCACTAGGGTTCAAGCCTGAGCCTTCGCCTGCAGGACTACCACTCCCAACCCCAACGCTGGACATGCCAAGGACTGGGGCATCGCCGCCCGTACCTCCCGCAGTCCCACTGGTTGCATCCGATTGATGCGCACCAGCCCCGTACTCTCTTCCGCCGTTTCCCGGCGCAGCGGCACCAACAGAGGACTCCACCTGATCACCTCGTTGCCCAACAAGCGACTTGATTATGCTCGGGAGCTGGGACAACTGTGTCTCAATCGAGTCCAATCTCTCACCATCAATAACATCCTGCGAATCACCCGGATATGGGTCATCCACGTGATCCCCAGCAGGCTCACTCGTCACGAAGTAAGGTGATCAACCTTCCTCCGTGCAGTTTTGATGTACAGTCCGAGGGGACAAGCAGCAGTCGACTGATTGCGCGATAGCGGGTTGGTAAACTCGTGGCTTTTGGGGAAAGCTGTTGTATTGATGAGACCTTGGACCAGGAGAACAGGTCAAAAACTTGGAGTGAGCTGGGTGGGTGCACAGCATCCCAGCAGCATCACGCTTAGGCATCCGCCCGCATCTACACCGAACACTGACCGATGCATGGAACGGACCAATGCACTTTCACTCGGATCAATGCACTTTCCTAAGTATCACACATCCTCTGGCTAATGTACTATCCATGAAGAACATTCCTACTGCCAGAGAGAAAGGACCAAGAACATTCCACTATATTCTCATAATATGTGGCTATACAGCGACTCTTCAGCTTGACAGTTCCGACATTCAAACTATCCAATCAGACTGTTTGCGCGTCTGTCGATACACATGCCGCTACCTCGAACAGCATCTGCACGTGTAGCAGCCCGTTCTCTGGTGGCGGGACTGCAGTATATACTGTAGAACTAGATCCTTCAAATTCATGTAGACTATTTTATTCATTTTCCCTTCCTTCATTGGACTCTGTCGGCTGCCCCGCTGGCCCCTATCCTCCACCTCTACTAGCTAGACGACACAACCGGGGTTACATAGGAGGGGGGGGTTGGACACCCTCCTGCGGTCATGTAGCAGCCCGTTCTCTAGTAGCGGTACTGCTTCAGCATATTGTATAAATTCTTCAAACTTCACGTATGAAGCAGCCCGTTCTCTGGTGACGGTACTGCTTCATCATCGTCACAGGTATCATTCCACCTGCAGTGCACGTATATAGCAGCCCGTGCTCTGGTGGCGCTACTGCATCAGGTATCATTCCACCTGCACGTGTTTAGCAGTTCGTTCCTCCGTCTTGAAACAGCCAGCTCTTCTCTGGGTACCTTTCTTTGGTGACTTGACTGTGGAGGGGGCCGGTATCATTCCACCTGCACGCTGGTGCCTGTAGCAGCTCGCTCCTCCGGTGGCGTTGCTGCAGCATTGTGCTATCTTTCTCCACCAATCCTGGGTAGTTGCTTCTTGTCCGACAGCAGGGTTCGCCTGCTCGGTTCATTCTCCTTTGTCTTCTTCTTTGTGCGACGCGCGCAGTGGGCAGTCGAACCACCCATGTCCTTTTGAGTTTCTGCAGTAGTACCTACAACGTCCTTGACGGTTCTTACCATTGTCCTGCTCTGACGATTCATCTCCTTGTTGTGCTCTACCTCCCGCACTTGCTGCACTGTTTCCGCCGTACGATGGTCCGCGTGTCCCATGGGTTCGAATTGCCCCAACAGCAAAAAAAAAATTACGCCCGACATATGGGAATAACAAGCCTAAGGAAACTGGCTTCGCAAAATGATCCGATGACCTGCTTGTATCGAGCTGGCAAGCACAGCGCTGATTACAGTGATGGCAACCCTTGGGGGATGTGTTCGGGCATTACCTTTTGTTGAGAAGAACGATGACCACTAGACTACTAGTCAGTGCTGACCATTAGTAGTCTAGTGGTCATCGTGTTTCTCAATACTGATCAGCACCACACCGAAGTACTCACGCGTCAAGCGAGTCCGACCCTCTGTTGAGAGGGGCCGGTATCCTATGGAGGCGGTGCCCATGGACGATGAACAAGCGAGCGTTGTTGGTGGTTTGGTTGTGGTTATTCATGTGCGGTGCACGGAATGTGCGGTACACGGCTTTTTCTGCGGGTTTTGTGCTAGAGCGTCGGGCGCCAGGATAATTTGACCATTTCTGAGTACAAAATCTACCTCTTCCGTGTCCACCAGTAACCAATATCGGTTACACCAGAGGGTCCTAGTTCCAGCGGAAGTTGTACCCGATGGAGGCTTCTTCAGAAATGGGTACAATGGTTGTTCGGCCGATCAGCTGACAGCCTGGGGTTGCAAGCGTGTTGTGTTGAGAAGCACGATGACCACTAGACTACCAGTCAGCGCTGACTCGTAGTCTAGTGGTCATCGTGCTCAACAACAAAAGTCAATGCCCGTGTCCGATGTAGCTTTGCAGCCACGAGCACGTCCCCCCCAGGGTTGCCATCCCTGTGATCAGCGCTGTCTTGCCCGGAAATTGCATCGGTACAAGAGGTACATCGGCTTGCTTTGCGAAGTCCCATAGACTCTTCCTCCTCATACATCGGGCGCAAAGAAATTTATGCTCAAGGGGAGATTCGAACCCCGGACATTGGCTTTTGTTGTTTGGTTTTGGTTAATCATGTGCGGTGCACGGAATGTGCGGTACACGGTTTTTTCTGCGGCTTTTGTGCCAGCGTCGGGCGCCAGGATTATTTGACCATTTCTGAGTACAAAATCTACCTCTTCCGTGTACCCCAGTAACCAATATCGGTCACACCAGAGGGTCCTAATTCCAGAGGAAGTTGTACCCGATGGAGGCTTCTTCAGAAATGGGTACAATGGTTGTTCGGCCGATCAGCTGACAGCCTGGGGTTGCAAGCGTGTTGATTTCTCACTGTACACTAAAGTGATGGTAAAGTACCCGGATATACCCGTTTCTGGGTATTGGTCATGCAAATAGCGCCAGCTCCAAAGGTCCAAACCGTGGTGGAAATCAGGGTATAGTAGTCCTGGATAACAGCAGTGACCTGTGGCAGGGTACACTCCGGGACATTTGGAACACGCCAGAGGGTGAAAGTTAACGGTGAACAAACAGCTAGACTACCATGGACGTCGCGTTGTGGGCTTTCTGAAGCCCAGGTAAGCATATACTGCTGTCGTACTCCATACCTGCAAGATAGGACGGCTACAAATACCCACCGCCTGCACCGAACCGGCCGCCGAACCACAACAGGGGATGACACACGACTCTCCCCTCTGTTTTCAAATATCCCTATGGCCTTCGAAGGTGTCGCGTGGCGGTTGGGCGATTTTCCTGGTCAGTCCACCCAAAAGGTCTGTCCCCTCCCACTACTGTCCCCGCCTCTGGGGGTGTGGAGCTGTGTGCGGAGTTTAATGACTTCCATCCAGCAGTGTGTGATCTGCTACGAAGAGCTGACTCAAGATCTTAGCGCCGCTCCATGCGGGCACGTGTTTCACTCATTCTGGTAAGTTCGCCAGCAGCGAAGAGCCGTGCGCAAGAGCAAACATCTAGGTATGCATATAACAGGATAGAGAGCACTGCTGCAGACTTCACCTCTGACGGTGGATGCTGTGAGACGAATTCCTGTTTCTCGTGCGCGGATTGTGTGGTGGTGTCTTTTTCCCAGCAGTGCTTGACTTGCGGCAGCAGTAAGGTTTACGCAGGGTGAACTTTCCCGTCCCTCCTACGCGGGACAGAACTGACAGTGACGGCCTCGCTGCTCACGACCCAGGGGGCACTTTCCACAGAAGTGTATGTATGCATACAGCAGTACACCTTGTAACATCCCGAGGAACCGCGATCAATCGCGATGCTACATCTAGTTCCGCAACTGACATGCGATACCACACCCTGGATACGATGTGTATCAACAAGTACTCAGTGATCTGATGGGTGTGCGGTATCTTGTGTCACGTGAAGATCTGGAGAAAAAGTAGTGCTGTGGTTTGTGGTAAGCACTTCACGGCAGCCTTGCCAAAAATAGTGCGACACAATCAGGAGATTGCTGTATCTAGGGGAAGAACTGTGGGTTTTCACCCTCTCCTTGTTGGTGTGAAATCAAAGAGGGGCGTGAAAACATGGGGCCGCCGCACCACGCTGGCTGAGAAATGTCGCTGCCGCTGCATATCGTCGGTGACATGAGATCTGACTCCCCTGGGCCGAAGTTCAAAGCTCGATTACTCCGCGACGAATGCGATGCCAAAATCGAACTACATGTTCTTCGGAAATATCTCGACGAGACAGTTCCAACGCCGCCATTTTCGACAACGCCACTCTTTTTGCTGTGGAGTACAGTAGTCGAGGTTTGAAATCGGTCGAGGGGATGTGGTTCCTTGCGTGACCTCAACTCCAACATCGGCATTAACATATATCTTCGGTACAACCACGGTCAAGGAGTGTTGCAGGTTTTCGTGGTGCTTGACGTGCGTAGCACATACCGCCACCGTTGCTGCCCGTACCTTTTCTCTTCGTCCCGTTTTCCTTTTGCCAGCATCAACAAATGGAATTCGCCGGGAAGGTGCTGCCCAATCTGCCACGTCGTGCTACCGTCGGAGCTCCTCAAGCTGTACTACGAGCCCCAGAAAGACGCACCAGATGAAACGGCCGTCGCAGGCTGTGCGCTAGATTGCGGGACGAAGGACGTCGAAGCTATGGCCGCAGAAATGAAAAAGCTCCAAAGAAAATTGACGAAAAGTAACAAGGTACAGGCCGAGTAATACCGGTGTGCCGATTTTGATACCGTAGACCGTCGACAACGTCGCATAGTACATGAGCATGTTGTCGATGGCGCAAGCACAATTCGTTTGATCGTCGGTCGCAACGCTGTCGGTGGTGAGGGGTCGCCTTTTCCTTTGATGAGGCGCACGTGCTACGCAGCGCGCCACGCGGCTACAAGTTGACGGTGAAATGGTGTTCAAAAGATTTGCGTTTATTTTTGGGGGTTGGTCGAAACCTTTCGCTGACGAGAGAGCTAAACAGCTCTGCGTGCCGCGCAACCCCTGCGAGGGTGTTTGCCTCTTGAGACAAGAAGGCCGGAACTCGACTACTCCGATAAGCTACAAACCTGCCCGCATTTTTCTCTCTTGCCCTGCCGCGTTACCGTTTCCATGGCGATCGCCCGCCCACCGCGTACGTACAGGGCGCTCGACAGACCACGCGAATTCCTCGATCCTATTTCCCTTGCCTTGTACACGCAACTGGCCTACCCTGACTTTTTAGCTCCCAGGGTGATGCGCGATCGGGGGCGCGAAAATGAAGTACCTTCCAGGCTCCAATGGAATGTGGGAATTGCCGTACGTGTCTCTACAAAATCAACCCTAACTATGTGACGAGATCTTCCGCCTGTTGTAAGGTTAAGTTGTTTTCGTTTTCTCTCCGCAGAGGTTTATGGAGGGTGAGAATGCGCGCACCCAGAAAGCCAGAGAGCTGGAGGACTTGAAGAGAGAAGTCGCCGCCGCGCACGTCGTTGCCGCGAACTCACAGAAGGAACTGGAGACTGCAAGGATCGATTTGGTAAGGACCTTTCCAGCCTTTTTGACTTGACAGCTCTTTTTTGACCCACTAAGCCGCACTCTCACGCTGCGGGCACAGCGGGCGTGTGTTTCCATGCACAGCAGGAGGTGGGGCCTGCCTGATCTACGGCACCACTTCAAACTGCGCTATGCTCGTCGGCGTGTGGTTCTGAGTACGGATCGAGACCAAGACAGATTTCATGGAAAATAGCACGATTTTTGTCAAGTCGTGCTGTTTTTGATGGAATATGCACCAAGGACGTAATGCTGTGGAGCCTACTGCAGTACCGGGCTTCCCTCCCGTAACTTGTGTTTTTGGATGAACCCAATTTGTATAGCACGCTCCCGGTACGGAGTGTGGAGGTGTTAACCGTGGGGGTGTCAGAAAGCACTACATTATAAGAGAACTGTTCACAATGGCCAGCAACGTGGTGGTGATATTGGAGGAAAAGCCATCTATCTCTACACAAGGCGGGAAAAGCCATCTCTACATAAGGCGATGGAATTCATCGCGCGAAGAGTGATGATAAATGCCGTTGGATACCGCCTGAAAGTTTGTCCGTTGTTGTTCGCCCCCGCGCTTCACCGCCCCCACGAATCGCAGTTCAAGAAGCACAGGGACAACAATAGGCTCAAGCGAGAGTTGGAAGGAAACCAGAAGCGGCTTCGCGAGATTCAGGGGGACCAGGTGGCTTACAGCTACCTGAGCCAGTTTTCGTCTCCTGCAAGGGGACGGGCTCTCGTTGGCCTAGGCCAGGTAGGACCAACCTTCAACCCGCGTCTGAAACGGCAGTGCTGTTGAACGGCACGTGCGTGAACGTCGACGGTAGCGCCGCTGAATTACAGGATCGTTCCGCGTCTGAGCTGTCAATCACTCCCAAGCGCGTTTTGGCGATGGGTCAGTTGTGTGTATGCCCTTACTCATGTTGGCTTGCTAGAATGACACAAAGTTAGTAACACATTGAGAACGCTCTTTGGCGTGGCGGATGGACTCACTCACGTTGCTGTTGATGGGAAGAGGCGGCGCAACCTCTCTAGAAGTGTCGATGCTGTATTTTTGTCGAAGATTTTGGCGAGCGCTGCCGCCCATCCCGTGTGTGCGAGACTCTCCACGGAACTCGCATTGTCTTCCACCGGTTGAGTTAGCGAGGTCCTCGGTAACAGTGAGACATATAGTCTCCCAGGCGTTCTGGCGGGGCATATAGCACCAGCTCCCTCGAATGCGGTAGGGTTCTTTTACCTTGCATGACTGTCTTGCCGGTACACGTCATATACTTGCTGTGTGCAATTATCGTGTGTGTGGACGGTGTGGCAAATGCGCAAGTGAACGCCCAAAAGAACGGAACCTAGCGTCTTATTTCTAAGGAGGTTGCTGCTTAATGTTTCCGTACTCTTTCCTGGTCTCGCTCCTTAGTTTCTCTCTGTTCTCCTCTCTCTCTGCGCTGTCTTGTCCATCTGCCCTTCCCTGCGTCTGTGGCTGTGACTGTCTGCCTGCCTGTCTCTCTCTCACTCTCTCTCCCCCTCTCTTTCCTTTCTCTCTCCCACATACCGTTATCAAAATTGCGAATGGTGTTCGGAAGACGGACGTGGAGAAGGTGCTCGGACAGATACGCCAAGGGAACACCCAGGCTGACACAGTCATCAGGAGTCAGCACGAGCAGCTTACCGGGTCGATGGAACGAGAGCAGAGAGCCAAACGGGAACTGGTACGTGCTTGTGACCACCCTGTCGTATGAACCCACACATGGAGGAGAGGGTAGTCACCACGAAATGCGCATCGCCGCGGTAATACTTTCAACACAGGGCCTTGAAAGGTGTGCAACTCGTAACATTCAGGTTGTGGTTTTTCGTAAACACCGCACCGTAGGTACTTTGTGTCGACCTTTGTGTTCGTGCACTACAGGTTTGAATTTGTTTCTTGGAGGGCAAGGTCGATGGCCGTACATACGGCCAGAATTTTAGATTCAATTTTTTTTTCCTTGCCATCTCCTCTTCCTATGCACACAATAATTTTTCACGCTCCCAAGTTTTTTGTATGTTTTGGCGGTGTTTTCGGCATGTGCACCGACATGCTTTGCGCTGGCTGCGCACACACGATTAGACCCTGTGTTTTTTCTCATTTTTGTTTTTTTCTTGATTTTCTCCGCAAACGGCAGCGTAAGTGGAAGCAGGAGGGCGAGACGATAGGGCTCGAGCTGCAGGGGGTGCGGTCCAGGCTGGCCAAGGCGAGGAAGGAGGTCTCTCGGCTGGAGAAAGCCCTAGCTGAGGCCACCGTCAAGGCGGAGAGGCAGGCGCGAGGTAGTGAATCGGCGTTACCCCCGGGGCCGTCCGCCGGGACCATCCTCGGCGACTGGGTCGCGGAAGAGAGGCCCTGCAGCAGCGGGGGGGAGAGCAAGTGGGCGCTCTCCCGCAAGTCGGTCAGCGGGAGGCTAGGCGGCAAGGCGCCTTCGGCCCCGCGGGCTACGGCTTGCTTGGCTTCCAAGCTGGGTGAGGACGCCGTCACGTTTCATCACTTTTTTATTCGGCGATCCTCTTCGGAACGAAGGACCGCTCTCGAACTTGTTTCTC